GGACTGGTTGCAAACGCACCCGGAAGTTGTGGAAATCCCGTTCCGAACAGACTGGCAGCGGCAGCTGCTGCAGCCATTGCATGTGTTTCGGAAAAATTGGTGTTTGGTGTGCTACCATCCAGTACACCAGGAATTAGACAGGAAGAGGACTGAGTGGAAGGCGGTTGTGTCCGCGCTGTCGCACCGGGTTGTGACGTTGATGGTATGGGTTGCGATGATGAGGGTGGTAGTGGTGGTGCTGGTTGCGATGTTGGTGGAGGTGTGGATTCCAACAGAGATTCTTCTGAACTAGCTAAACCGGCAGAGAATGGCGGGAACGCGCCAGCACCACCAAGAGGAAATGGATTTGAGGACATTGGATTCATAAAAGTTGAGGCGAATAGGCTCTGACTGGTCGGTGTTGATCCGAGCTGCGATGCGGAAAAATTCGATGGAGCGGGACTGGTCAACGAAGACAGATTTGGACCACCCAAAGAGACTGAGGGCAGTCCAAGAAGAGGATGGAGTTGATTCAATTGGGACTGAAATCCAAGACTACCAGGTCCGAATGGTAATGAAGGAGCCGACAGATGCTGCAAACCTGCTGGTAGGGTGCCCCCGGTTAAACCGTTTGGTGGAAACGGACCGGCTTGATTGGACAAGGACTGACCCATTGCTGCTGCTGCCACTGCCGCATTGATAGCACTGGCAGCCAGTGACGAACTGGTTGAGTGGGAACCCATCAAATTTGCCGGTGAATTTGGTCTGTTCCCGTTTCCCGGGGGCATCATAATCGGATAGTCGAAACTGTACGAGGAACGTCTGGCTTCACGCCGATTGCCGTCGATGGCCGCTTGCAGTTCACTAGGCGTGCTCAAACCAAGAGTGTCACATTCGTACGGATAAAGGTATTTCATGTATCTAGAACAGGAAAGAGAGAAGAGACACGTAGCAGAGAAGGATTGGGGAGATTTGATTCCCAAATGCAACATCTGCTCCATCTGTGTGATCGATCAGCAACAGTATAAACGTGATCGGGTAAAAACAACCGCGAAACTTACTGTGTTCTGAGTGTGAAAGCTGCACTAGTAATTGACGAAGGCAGATTTAGACCTTTAGTGATTTCTCGCCACAGCTTCTTATTGATCACTTCCACAAGACCTCCACGAGCAACAACCAGTTGGAACAGTTCATACAGGTCCAATACTTGCTTTGCCATGATCGGAATACGATTGACCGGGGTGCCTGAATAGGAAACGGAAAGAAATGTAAATAAGTCCAGGCAAGTTGTTTGATCTGTCCAATTTTCCTTTTACGAAAATACGAATGGAATTAAATGAAATCCAACCAACAACGGGTTGTGAAACAACGTTAGTTCGCAAACATATAATCATAACTATCCAAAATTGTCCAAAATGACAGCGAAAATGGTCACCCCAACTGACCACAATTTTGCTGTAGTTCATCGAACGATCGTTTCTTGCACACCAAACCTGAAAAGCGTGAAGCAGAATGGAATTGTGAATAGCCAGGGGATGTATGTGTTCGAGACAGACCTGACGAAGGTCCGGAGTGGGAACCGTTAGAATTACGTCACAGACAATCAAAAAGCTGCAACACGCTGATCGACGATTACGTCGACTAGCGCTGTACACAAAACACATCAATATCTCATGTGAGTAATTGAGGATTTGGTTCAATTTCAAATGGGAATTCGTCTTGTATATAGCGAATGAAGCGTGAACTAAAAAGCTAGGAAGCACTGGACAGCTGTTTCGACCCGGTTGAGTTTCATCAGCAGTGCGAATTCATCGACCCAACTGGGGATCGAAACCTTAGCCATAACCCCGGAGGCTAGTGCTGAATTAAGCGAGGTTTGTGGCCCGCACGAGCTCGCAAAGATGGGTTGTGCTATATCGTGTAAATGGAAAATGAAAAACGGTCTAATCAGCTGCCCGGTTGCCGTGTTGGTAGCATGTTCGCATTCCGCCTGTGAGGTCCCGAGTTCGATCCGCAGTTGGGTCGATGCATTCACTCACTGCCGATGAGACCCAACCAGGTCAAAACAGCTGTCCATAGCTTCCCAGATTTTCAGTTCATGCTTCATTTGCTATATACATCCAGACCTATTGCTTCACATACTCTGATTCAAATATATTATCCTTTGAGGATATCTGAGGGCCAATGACGTAAGAACAGCAAGTCCACTCGCACCGACTGCAGGCATAAATGAAATCAGAGGTTGTACTCATCGGCGTTGCACGATGTGGGAGGAACGAAATATGAAATGTCAACTTTATAATGATGAAAATGTTTGTGATAACCGACAAAGAACACTGGACAACTCTTTCTTCCTCTTTGGGACTCGTCAGCAGTGAACGTACATTTTGCGTCCCCTTGTCAGGACTCGAACCGCGAATATTCGGGTTGGGAATTCGAACTCTTACCTCTTACACAGTCGACAGTCCTCATCCTGTGCGAATGGCTGGTGAAGAAATAACGATCTCCCAAGGTGTGAAACCCACACCCAAGACCATCAAGAGTGCCCGGTGCCTCATAACAATCGAATGGGCTAATCCAAGTCAACTTTCTGACTTCCCAAAAGTTTATTGTAGATGATCATTTCACTTGAGTTCAATGGAAGAAGATATCTTTGATTTGCTGTCACTACGCAATCAGTGAGGTTTTTGCATTTAACTCACTCGTACTGGTAATTAGTGGTAGGCGAGAAATGTTATTGTGCCAAAATGACCATCCTTCAGGCTGCAACTTTACACACAATCCTCAGTTTTTCCAGTCAACCATATATACAGTCGGTAAGCACTATATAGACTCGAGTTTCTTGCTTACTTTACTTTACTACGACTGGCTCCTTCCAAAGTATAAGCCAGCTCCATGAATGTCTCTGATTGCCGTCGTAGAAGACATGATCATGAAGTTCCTTGGGAGTTTGGTACGAGTGACGTCCCCAGAGTCACTCGGGGTTTTTTATAGTTTGAGGGCGCACCTCTAGCCCTTGCACAACCAAGTGCAAACTGCAAGGCTGCAGGAAGTAATCTCTCGCCTCGGAAGCAAGGGGGTCAATGGCTTTAGTTTTAAAAAACCAGTCACATCGACCTTTTTCACGCACCGTCACTGGGCTTATGCGGCTTTTAAACAGGAATCAGGTGACTAGCCTGAAACCCACCACACCCTGGTAGTTAGGGCGGGCGCTGTGTTGTTCGCGACTGCTTATTTGTTACGGTATGCCACAACTTATTCACAGTTAACCTGTTGCAATGAACGTATCTCCGTACCCATAACCGGGGACCCATCTGGTAGCATTCAGCTCTGCTTAACCCAAGGCACTCTGACTTGAGTTTCGCTAAACAACAGTGCATATTCACCGTCCCAAC